CCTCGAGCCGCATCCCACCCGCCTGCCCGGGGGGTCCTGCAGCGGCCGCCAATCCCGCCCCATCCAATATCCCCGCCCGGCCCCTCCGCCGCCCTGATCTCGTCGCCGTCCGAGGTGCCGGGGCCGACCGCGCTCCGGGTGCCCCAGTGCCCTCCCTCGCCGGCGTTCGTCTCCGTCGCCCGGTTCCGCCCGCCCGCCCGCTGCGGCCGCGTCGGCGACCTGCGACGGTGGCGCGGGAACAGCACGCGCGTCGGCGATGGCCACGGCCTGAGGTGCGATTCCTGCCCGCCCCACCCGCCGGCGGCGTGCTCTGCTTTGTACCCGGCCCTTATATTGTTTATAATACTGTTTGTTGCCCCAAATACGGTTGTATTATTTTCTCTCTGTCGGTTTTTTCACGATTCTGTTTCTCTCCTTGTAATGGCCGGTGACGAATAGCCGGTAGGATTGGCGGTCATTGGTTAGCGCTGCCCAAAGCGAGTTTCAGTGGATCGACGACATCGGTGGCGACAAAACCGATCAGATTTGCGCTAGTGCTATTTACAGTTGGCGTTAGTTTTTAATCCAGCGCGCTTTTCGCTACTCAACTACTAGATCTTATTAACTGCTCAATACCCTTGTAAGCTATGGATATCCCTATCACACCGATAATTTTGCATATGCTCGCCACCTCGCTGCTGTACCGAATTGGTAGACGCTCTTAAACGAATTCAACAATGATCCACAAGCTGTGCATATCTGTTACTCCTTTTCAAAAAAAATATGTTTATGTACTTGTGACACCATTTCTTATGGTTCACCTGCAAGAAACACACAAATAGATATGACGGTCGTTAGCCCAGATGTAATTTATTTTCCAGCATGATTTTCTAGATTTGTTTGTCCTTCTCTCTGTTGGTATCGTGGAATGGTCTCAGGGTGAATAGATGGGGCCTGTTGTGTTGGGTTTTGCCAATTTTCGGAGGACTGATGCTTTACTAGTTCCGGGTTATATTTGTTTTGTGTAAGACTGGAATCGTTCTGCTTATTCGCCTATGTATGTTGAAGGGGTCATTTTAGATATTTGCGGGTTATGAGCCTTTTCTCGACAAAATAAAAAAATCTGCTGGTATGGTGGACTGAGTTAGATTTTGGGTCGAATCCATTCTCCGATGACAAGGTACAATGACATGTTACTGATACATCCTTGCAGGTTGTAGCCTTTAGTTATTAATTATTTAGGTCAATATGTACTCAACATGTTTAGTTTGATATCATATACTTGAGATTGTCTTTTACTCAATGGGTGTTAAATTTGGATTTAGTTTGATATTATGGCCATGTTATTCGTATGAGTACTCAGTAATCTTCTGTTTATTCCCTGCTGTTTTGTTATTCTGTATTCACGATGGACCATTTTGCCAAACTTCTAATGTTCATCTGCATTTGTAGTCTGGTAAGGTTATTTTGTTGGTTTGGAAACATATATTCAATGCGACCTTTTTTGATTGATTGAGCTAAGTGATGTTTGTGGAGTTCTCTTGCAAGTTTGTTTTTTATGTACACAAATGCAAATTTCCTGATATACATGGATGCCACTTTCAGTTATACCTGAATTTTCATTTCTAGAATAGTACTCTTATCCGAGTAGAATTCCTGCTGACATAACTTTGATCTGTTGCAGATTGAGGATGCGTACAGAGGGGTTGGAGTCTTGCCGATAGGTTCCCTCCCTGTTGAAATATTGTTGTAGATTCTGACGGAATGTTGGAGGGTCAATCTTGCCTGATCTCGAGGTCACTGCCCAGCTCCTGCGAACAGGAATCCAGATTAGCTTATATGACTTACCACCTCCTTGAGATCACAAGGACTAAGCGCCCATCTGGGGTCCTGGCTATTGAACAGGATGGAATTGCTGTGGTGGCAGTGCTGGCAAAGCGGCCTAAGTCTGAGGATAGCCATGATGCTGTGCCGGTAGACTGTCAAGGTGGTAATCAGGGCTATTCTGATTCAAGCACACTGATAAGTTCTATTGGCAGAGATAATTCAATCAATTGTCTAGCCCGCTGCTCTCGGTCTGATTATGGCTCCATTGCATCACTGAGCCGGAACTTCCGTTCCCTTGTCCGTGATGGTGGTCTGTACAGAGAAAGGCGGAGGTTAGGGATTGCAGAACACTGGGTGTATTTCTCCTGCAATGTGCAGGAGTGGGAGGCATATGACCCATACCGTGAACGGTGGATGACGCTCCCAAGGATGCCACCTAATGAGTGTTTCATGTGCTCAGACAAGGAGTCACTAGCTGTCGGCACTGAACTTCTGGTGTTTGGCAAGGAGATTCTATCACATATTGTTCTTAGCTATAGCATCCTGACCAACTCATGGTCAAGAGGCGTTGAAATGAATGCCCCTAGATGTTTGTTTGGTTCGGCTAGTTTTGGAGAGAAGGCAATTATAGCTGGTGGCATGGATTGTTTTGGGAATGTGCTTAGTTCTGCTGAGCTGTACAACTCTGAAACTAAAAGTTGGATTACACTTCCGAGCATGAACAAGCGTAGGAGAATGTGTTCTGGAGTCTTCATGGATGGCAAGTTTTATGTTATTGGTGGAATGGCCAGTAACACGGAGGTGCTGACATGCGGAGAAGAGTATGATTTAGAGAAGGGTACCTGGAGGTTGATAGAGAACATGTCAGAGGGGCTCAATGGTGCCAGTGGTGCTCCTCCCCTTGTTGCTGTAGTTGACAATGAGCTATATGCGGCTCAATATGCAGGAAAACTAGTAAGGAAGTATAATAAAAGTGACAACACATGGACAACTCTTGGGGAGTTACCAGAGCGCCCAGAAGCTGTGAATGGCTGGGGCATTGCATTCCGAGGATGCGGAGAGCGGCTCCTGGTGATTGGTGGACCAAGAGTGCTGGGCGGCGGGATGATTGAACTCCATTCGTGGATCCCAAGGGAGGGCCCCTTGCAATGGAACATGATCGGAAGCAAACCTTCTGGCAACTTTGTTTATAACTGTGCTGTCATGGGGTGCTGATTTCTGCGCCACCACCCACCCGTCGAACATACTTGTCAACAAGAAAGATTTGTGATATTGGTTTCGCAAATGCGCATAAAAGCACTGATTCTGCCTGATTGGTAATCTCTGCCTTCTTCTTTTTTTCCTTCTCCTCTGGACATTTCAGATTTTACTCCGATGTTCCATAGAGTAGTCAGTCACATCCTTCCTTGTATTCGTTAACAGTTACACTGTTGGGTCTCTGTTTTCCGTGCATTTGGTTTCCAGTTGGGAATTTGTACCTGGTCTGGTCCGTATACTCTGTCGAACTGAGAATTTCCTGAGATGGATGCATCTAGGTGACAAACTGTAATTGATGTAGCCTTGCATCTGGACAAAATTGTATTGGACTCTGAATTGTCCCAGCTTCATAGTGCCCCTGTGCAAAATGCCTGTTAACAAAAACAACACTAGTTATAAATGTATCGTGACATGGTTTACATTTCCTTGGACTGCTTGTTGACATATTCAAGAACCAATCGTACATACATTTGCAAAACATTCAACCTGGCGCTGCTTCATCGTTACGTAATATGCTTTGTCGACACCATAACCACCCACATGTAACTTTACACTACTGCTTGCGCTTTTGCCCGAATCCTGGTGCCAAGTCAAAACGACATTGGGCATAATTAAAGTTCCTTGAAGGATGCTCAACCATTTCAGATGAAACATCAAGACACACGGAGCACTAATCGGGCAAACAAAGTCGATATTTTGCACCGAGCTGTCCATGTCTCTAGTAGCATGGGCACTTCGATGCGAGCCCTGGTGAAACTTGATGCCGCTGCCGCTGCTGGGTGGAGGAGGGAGCTCCTCCGAAGTCGCCCCGCTTTACGTCTCGGCGCGCTCGGGATTCCACGCTAACTAACTAGGCTCCGCTTAGCCTACTGGGGATATTGTTATCATCTAGGGTGGGCAGGTGCCCACTTCTATATTAAGAGAGAAAAGAATCCGAGAGACGACAAGCGAACGCGGGGGCTAATCAGTGTGTGTGGGTCGCTGTCCGCTCCGTGCTTTAGCGTCGTGGAAATCGGAAAAAAGGGCCACGCTTCGCTGTCGAGTTGTTGCGTGCATCCTGTGCGCGATTAGGCTCGTTTCCGCCGATCATCTCGCCGCATTATCCCCTGCGGCACTGTGTTTTCTGCGGTGGCTTTGGGATGAATGTTTTCGTTAGGTTGCGATGGGATTGCCCTCCTTTTCGTTCAGCCCTGATGGGATTCTTGTCGGGTTGCTTGGCCTCTTTTTTAGTTTTGTTTATTAGGCCTCTGGCTGGTAGATTTGAGAATCTTGTTTATCAAGTGGCTTGGATTGGCTGATGGATCTGAGAATTTCCTTTATCAATTGGCTAGGTTATCTAAGGCGGGCACCCTCCTGTAGAAGATTAGGAGAAATATCTGGCAGACACTCAGTGGGACGTCATCTAGAACACCCACTCTATCCAAACGGGAATGTTAGGAAGGAAATCACGCCAGAGCCTTTGCCTCCGCAGATTTCATGTCTTGGATAAGTTCTAGAGTATGTACTATGGCAGCAGTGTTTGCTAGCTCCGAGTTTTCAACGGCCCAGAGCAGAGCAGACGAGAGAATGGTGTAATCTGATTCTTTTCCGGTTTCTCTAGGCAGCCATTTGTTGTTCCTCAGTCATCTGCTTCGCTCACCTAAAAAAAAGGTTATCTGCTTCGTCAGCTTCGCCATCAGGGTTCCCGAATCCAATCATTGTGCTCACCGCTAAACCGGATGATGATTGGCAAATTGATCATGGCCTGATGGCGTTGGTTACCCCGTCGATTTCTTGGTATTCCGGCGACGCCGCGGTTGTTGCATCATGCATGCACCCCTGTTATCGGAGGACAAACTACGCGTCCACGCCAGGGCGGCGGGCTGAGCTCGTAGGCCACCTCTCGCTCTGCTTCTTTTGTTAGAGCAAAAGCAGGCCCGGCTTTGTTTCTTGATAATCCATTAAAACAAATGGAGAAGCGGTTCCGGCAAAAGGACAGTGAGATATGCCTATATGCCTATACGCCTATACGTATGCTGAGGGCAGGGTGGTTGTTGATCTGAAATCAGACTGCCGACCGACGATTGGGTCGAGGGAGTCCAGCTGCATGCAGTTTCCCTGCTACTATCTTGTACCGTCCTCGCGGTACGGCGGTGCAGCCTGCAGGCACCCGTGGGCACTTGGTCCCGTCGAGAAGGCGAGTTGAGCCAACCGCACTTTCAGCCGGCAGAATGATACGCAAGGTGGCGGCGAGCGAGTGACAGCGGGGTGAACCGTGAGCCCGTGAACGTACCCTGCCAACGCCAACGTATGGAGGATGCTTCGTGCTGGCAGCAAAGATACGCGCGGGTGTTGCATGCACGCACGGCCACAGCCCACAGCCCCACGCCCACAGTCACAGTGTGCTGCATGTTGCGGTGCCTGGCACGACGACGAGTACAAAAGCCGGGCGCTGAGCGAGCACCAGAAATGGGAGGTCCGGAGCTGGACCGCGCGCACGGTTTGACAGAGCGGGCGTAGAGTGGGACGCGTCGTGCTCCGGGCATCGATACCGGCGCCCGCGGGTTGCAACTTCCGGCGTGCCCTCGTTGAATGATGGCGTCGTACGCGAGAGTGGCTGACGGCTCCCGTAGTCCCATGTTCATTGCGCGCGCCGTCGGTTTCAAAGAAACGATTTTTTCTGGTTGCGCTCTCCCTGCAGCAAAAAAACGACGTTTCTTTCCCGCAGCAGCAGCGGCGCGACTGCTCGTGCGCGCGCAGGGCGGCAGACGTCTGTTTATACCGTACCTCAAGATTGTTTGGTGTTTTTGTTCTCCTCGCGGAGTTTCAAAAGAACAGTCCTACGCGGACGACCAAATTCAAACGATTTGTGCAGGACGGTTAAATCCAGCCTTGGAATCTCATCCTCTTTGATGTACAATGGTACTATCTCACAAATTTGCTCCGGCATATTTTCACGAACAGGGGAGCGGTTCGCAGACACTGATGTCGGAGGACGCTATCCAACACTGCCCACATATATTTCAACCACTGTTGAAACAAAATGGACGAAATTCATGCAAACCGGTCGGATTTTCATATAAACCGAAAGAGATTCATGCAAACATGGCGGGTTTCATAAAAACATGACGAAATTCATTACATTTCAGACACACTTCAACTAAAGGCGGAGCTTGTCCAACTCTCGAGGTATAATTTCGGACACCGTCACCATGCTCAACGAGCGCGCTTCGTGGACAATCACGGGCGTCTATGGCCTGCAGGGCGAGCAAGACAAGTTGGCCTTCATTGAGGAGCTGAGGACTCTCAAGGCCATGGCCAGAAGTGAGTGGCTCCTTCTGGGGGATTTCAACCTCATCACTAAAGCGGCGGATAAGAGCAACACCAATATCAACCGCCGCCTGGTGGGCATGTTCCGTGGGGCTCTTGATTTCTTGCAGCTAAAGGAGCTTCACCTAGGCGGGCGCCGTTTCACCTGGTCAAATGTGCAGGCCAACCCGGTCCTTACCAAGATTGACCACGTGTTCCACTCCGACGATTGGGACATACTCTTTCCCAATGCGCACCTTCAGGCTATCACCACAGCCTGCTCGGATCATGCTCCATTATATCTTCAGGGGTGCGTCGACGACCCGAGAAAGCCTTCCTTTAAATTCGAGGAATTCTGGCTTCGTCTCCCGGGCTTCAAGGACACCGTTGCCTTGGCATGGGACAAACCTGTTCAGGCCCAAGATGCCATCCGCAAGATTCATATCAAGCTCTGTCAGACCGCGAAGGCCCTGCGCAAGTGGCAAACGGAAAAGGTCGGGATGCTTGGCTCCCAGATCGCAGTTGCCAAGGAGATCATCTGGCGCCTGGATGTTGCTGAGGAGGGAAGACTGCTCTTGGACTCGGAGAGGGAATTGCGTAAACAACTTAAGGCCTCGTACCTGGGGCTCCTCGCCATTCAGAAAATCAAGCTGAGACAGCGTTCTCGGCTCAACTGGATCCGACTGGGGGGTGCCACCACAAAGCTTTTCCATGCTCGAGCGAACGGACGAAGGCGTAAGAACTTCATCCAGACAATCACCACCACCTCGGGGCTGGCAATTACCAGACAGGACAAGGAACGGGCCCTTCTGGACCACTTCCAGGCTAACATCGGCACGCCTGCCCTGCGCACCAAGTCCATTGTCTGGGAGAGCATCGGGATGCAGCACCACGACCTATCGGCTCTGGACGCTCCATTCGACGAGGCAGAGATTAAGGAGGCGGTATTCTCCTTACCTTCGGTCAAGGCCCCAGGCCCTGATGGTTTCATCGGCGCCTTCTTCAAATCATGCTGGGAGATCATCAAAGTGGATGTCGTGGTTGTGGTGATGCAGCTCGCGAACCTGAGAGGCGACTGCGCTGGCCTGATCAATTCTGCCAACATTATTCTGCTCCCGAAAAAAGCTGGCGCATCCTCGATTGGCGACTACCGCCCAATCAGTTGATACACAGCATCTCCAAGATCTTCTCCAAGCTGTTGGCTAACCGACTAGCCTCTCTGCTTTCGTCGCTGGTTTCCAAGTGCCAGAGTGCCTTTGTGCAGAAACGGTGCATCCACGATAATTTCCTACACGTGCAAAACTTGACCAAAGAATTGCACCGCTCTTCAATGCGAGGCCTTTTCCTCAAGCTCGACATCTCCAAGGCTTTCGACTCTGTGGGTTGGGCTTACCTCCTGGAGGTGCTGCAACAGTTGGGATTTGGGCAGCGCTGGCGGGATTGGATCTGCATGACCCTCGCTTCATCTTCCTCTAGGGTGCTGTTAAATGGGGAGCCGGGAACCCCATTCGTACATGCAAAAGGCCTTCGCCAGGGCGACCCGGTGTTGCCTATGCTCTTCATTCTGGCCATCGATCCTCTGCAACTTATGTTTCGGGCGGCTTCCCAGGCCGGGATCCTCAAGCCCATCAGGGCGCGGACGGCCTCCTGCAGGGTTTCTCTCTATGCAGACGATGCGGGCATCTTCGCTAACCCGGTCAAAGAAGAGATCGACGCCATCACTAGGATCCTTGCCTGTTTTGGGGATGCATCGGGCCTCGTCACAAACGTCAGCAAGACCGAGGTGTTCCCCATTCGCTGCCAGGACATCGATCTCCCGGCAATCCTCTCGGCCTTCCCGGCCAAGCTGGCCTCGTTCCCCGGCCGATACCTAG